GATGTGTATAAGAGACAGGAGTGAGAGAGAGAGAGAGAGAGAGAGAGAGAGAGAGAGAGAGAGAAGTTAGCTAACAGTCAACAGGCGGTGGGCACCATAGCTGTAGATGTCTGATAGCTAGGAGAGAGAAGGCATTCAGAGAGTGAGAGAGAGAGAGAGAGAGAGGCCTGGGAGTCGAAGTGAGAGTTCACCTTCATGTTGTTTTGGTTTGGCGGCCATAGCCCCCCGGCCGGTTGACGTTGGCGGAGGCAGAGGACAATAGTTGCCCGTGTGGAGAAGTGGGCTCAAAAAGTTGATTGCATTGCGGATTTGGAAGATATCTCGCGTTCACATATCTCGTGGTTTTGGCTTTCGCCTCACCTTGTGTTATTGAATGAGAGTGCACAACTCAGAGAGAACTTGTGATGTCGCTTGATATATGAAGCGCAGCCTCATTGCACGAATCAAGGTGAAGGGCCGGGCTCATTAAAGTTGTCATTTGCTGGGTCTATGTTCATTGATTGCTTTTATTCAAGGCTTGGATGACAGGACATTCTAAATTTGACCTTTCTGAAAGTGATCAATATTTATTAAGCTTCTGTTGAGCGAGCTCATCGCGAACTATTCATTATTCCACAAAAATCTTCAAATTTATAAAAGGATTTCCATTCTCTAATTAGTACTTACATATACATATCGTCATTATTACACAAAAAAAATCAATTTTATAAAAGGATTTAAAGGATTTTCAGTTTCTAATTATATATACAGCCTCCTGATGAGTCAGTGAAACTCCAACGAAACAGTTTGTCACAGCCCCTCGTTTGTTGTCCTCTTCTCCCTCTCTGCCCGTACGGTTTACCGGGCAGATCTGTTTGACGATATATATAGAAGAGGACAAGAAACGAGAGATTGTGACAAACTGTTTCGTCGGAGTTTAATTTAATATATATTTGACGATAATAGTCACAATCTATACATGTATATCATATATCGTCAAACAGAACTGTCCGGTAAACCGTCGACAGAGAGGGAGACGAGGACAACAAACGAGGGGCTGTGACAAACCGTCTCGTCGGAGTTTCAACGACTCATATATACTATGTATATATATATAGCCTCTTGATGAGTCAGTGAAACTCCAACGAAACAGTTCGTCACAGCCCCTCGTTTGTTGTCCTTTTCTCCCTCTCTGCCTACGGTTTACCGGGCAGCTCTGTTTGATGATACATATATTGTCACATATCTATGAACATATAAACAGTTTGTCACAGCCCCTCGTTTCTTGTCCTCTTCTCCCCCTCTGCCTACGGGATACCGGGCAGCTCTGTTTGACAGTATATCGTCAAACAGATCTTCCCGGTAGACCGTAGGCAGAGAGGGAGAAGAGGACAACAAACGAGGGGCTGTGACAAACTGTTTCATCAGAGTTTCACCGACTCATCAGGAGGCTGAACCCTCAACAGTCTGCAGAATCCCCTAACTGATTACACTG